CTGCTTCCTACGAAGTTCTAAGTTTATCCTTGGGTCTGCTGAGATCTCTTTCTAATGTTAAGTTCATCCTTGGATCTTCCCTTATCTCTTTCTAATTCCGCTCATGCTATATATAGTTCTGTCTGGATGTTTCCCATTTCATCTCCAGGTTAAGGCATCTATCACTCCCACCTGGAGAGGTCAACTCAGCAAGGCCTCAAGGTAGAGACATTTCCCTGGCTTGTTATCTCAGGGCCCAAGGCTCATCCTCTTAGCCCTGTTCACCACACCCTGGGCCAACAGAATGTTCAGTCTTAGCAAGCAGAAGGATTATTCCCATAGCAAGCCGAAGTCCCTAGTCTGTCCATGCCATTGTGTTCATTAGAAAAAAAGAAGAATCTTCTATTTTAAGGGCAAAGCAAGAATCAACACATTCAAGCTCAGCCAAGTCACCACACAATGCTCTGCCCTGGTGAACTTCGCCCTCATCTGTCAAGCGCTGACGTTCCCGGAGGGTCAATGTCAAAGCTGACTTTGAGATCCCAAGAGCTCTTTGTGTGCCTATGTCTGTCTCTCTCAAAGAAAGACTGCATGTATCAGAAGTAGAATGCAAACAAGTATCAAGGGAAAACTCTCAGTTGAAACAGATATCAGTATTGATCTCTCCCTGTCTGGAGGAAAGAAGAGTGAAGGAAATTGAAAATGCCTGGGAACAGTTAGTCCATCAGTCTCCACCACTCTGAGACCACAACTGCTAGCTTGTGCCGGGCCACCGCCAGCCGCTGCTCTGAAAAGAATCACACAGGAAGGTCCTGGATAGAGGTGGGAAATTATGAAACAAAAGTCAAAGCCATTCAACTAAAAAGACGAGGCCTACCAGTCAGAGAGTGACTAGTAAACTCCTGAGACTATGGCCCTTGCCCACCCTTCTAGTCTGGAAATTAACTTCCCCACTTGGCTCAATTTTCAGCCAAGCAATAGCTCAGTCTATAAGGAAACAAGAACACTACAAGGACATTCATACCTCAGAAACGTCAACCATTGGAGATGAAAAGGGCAGCATTTACCGAGGACGAAGTTCAGATTGAGTTAGGAAAGAAGGAGGCATGGAAACAGGAAGCCCAGGGAGGAAGTGGGATAAGTGATGTTAGGTTGAGGGAAATGTAAGAGATGAATTGAAACCAAATGTGTATAAATGGCTTCATGGAAAACGGATCTTCTCTGTAAACCTTCCAATTCACAATAGAAACTTTTTTTAAAAAGCAAAGACTGTGCTTTAAATAAACATCAACTAAAAAATAAATTAATGAAATAATAATAAATTAAAATAAATAAAAAACAAATATCAACTACCTATTACACTTTTAAACGGTTCATCTGGTTTAGGGTTCAAAAGGGACCCCAATCTCAGATACAATTTAAAAAGAGCACGTAT